CAGGAGGGTTGGACTAGATGACCCACAGAGGTCCCTTCCAACCCCTACTATTCTGTGATTCTGTGATTTTGAACCTGAACTATTCTGTGGCTGTGTGACTTGTGTTTTGGAAGAGGAGGAGATTAGGAGCAGGTAGGCAGCATACCTTGCCCATCCACCTTCCACGTAGGTATGAAGCAGAGCTTAGATACACTGAAATATCTAACATTTTGGGTTAGTTATTGGCTGATCTTACGTTTAGTGAGGAAATCTATTACTGCTATAGTCTTCCACTCAAAGCAAGGCAATCAAGTTCATTGTGTTTTTGATTTGTAGTTCATAAACAGTGCTTTCAGATAGTGTTTTTAGTGTTGTTGTTCTCTCCTGTTGACTTCCTAAGCATGGCTGGTTTTTACTTTGAATGATGGTTTCCAGATTTTCACAGGATGGGATCTTGATGGAAATTTTCATTACATCTGTACTTTTCTTTGTAAAATATTAAGGTTGGTTATAGGACCCAACTTAAAAAGTCAACAATTGCTGTTCTTTTGGAATTCATTCTCATTGAAGTGATTAACACATATTCCGTATTTTTTCAACTATTAGACAACGTTTCTCTTTCTCTCTTCTATTTCTGCTCTTCACATGCATCTTGATACAGGTCATAACAAGATGAGTTTAAATCAGAAGTAGGGTTTTAAAATGTATTTTTGTTTAAGAAGCATGGTTAAATGCAGGAGGCAGCATTTTGCTTTTTGCATGGAGAACTGATTGAGTGTGGGCATCTTGAGGGGGTGCTGGCTGCAGAAATTGTGGAGGGGGAGATCTTAAATGAAGCAGCAGTGTCTTGGTAGGAGGAACTGAGACACAGGTAGGTGCAGTACTGTCGGTGGAGTGAGCAGGAGCAATGAATTTGGGTGGAATCTGAAATTTGCAGAGGAAGTTCTGGGGCAGAAGTGTTAAACTGGGGATTCTGATCTGGAGTGGTGGAGAGGTTCATACTGGGGCAGAAGGAGAGTCAAACTGTGGAGGAGGACACCCAGTACTTTGGGAGGAAGGAGGTCTAGGAAATGAACGAGCATGCACAAGGATCTGTAGACCAAGAGGGGGTTGGGTTTCTCGGGTGGCACGCCTGTCTGCTTTACCACTTTTAGGATAGGGCCTGAGGCTGCAGAGCTGAACTGGACTGTCCACTCTCATAGTGACTGAGGAAGTACAGCAACCGAAAGGGAGGCTGAAAAGGTTGTAGGCTCCACTTTTGTGCTGTATCACGTTCAGATTGGCCATGCAGTGAGCATTTGTAGGGGTAAGTGGGCTGCCTTGTGTGAGGATCCTGTTTTTTTATCTGTTTCACTTCGCCTTCATTTGGACATTGGCTTATGCTCATGCCTATAATTAAATCTTAATGACTATGGATTACAAGATTTTGTATTTCAAAATTCACTTCAGAAGCTTTTATGGACAGCAGTAAGTTTGGGCCTTTAATTTTATCACAGAGGCAGATTTTAATGATCTGTTGTGTGTCACTTGGCAGTAGTTCAGCTACAACGGGATTAAAATTGAAAATCTCCCTGTTTTTTCGTAGAAGACTAACCAGAATGTTCAGGCAGCATTTATGGTATATTTTGAGATTTTTGTGCGAATCTGTTGCCCAGAATTTTGCTGAATGACAAACTGTGCTGTTATAATCCTACAGCTACTGTGTTTATTATAACTTTGTGATATTGAAGCCATTTGTCTTGTGTTTTGTGAGCCTTTGGCAAAGGGATTTCCCTGTCTGTTTTCTTACACAGGCAAACATGCTGAAGACATATTTGGTGAATTGTTTAATGAGGCCAACAGCTTCTACATCAGAGCAAATTCCCTTCAAGACAGAATTGATCGCCTTGCTGTCAAAGTTACCCAGCTGGATTCAACAGTAGAAGAGGGTAGGTAATTGCGTGAAAGCATTGAGCCAGAAGTGATGTTGACAAGACCGCAGTATTTAATTACACAACAATCTCAGGCTTTTCAAAGTAATCCTGAACCGATATTTCATCTTGTTTTCTCAGTAAGGCAAGCTGGGAAAAATCATGTTAGCAGAGCGAGGAAAAAATGTTCTGGAGTCGTATAACTGTCTTCATTTTTGACTTACTGTTACTTCAAGAAGCCCCTTTAGTAATGGAGCCATTAAGCTGCCTTTTTCACAGGGAAAACTTTTAGTTTCCGAGCGTAATAAATAAGAGTTGAATAAATCTAGGCTTTACTGGAAATATGTCAGAATATTGGAAACAGTTTGAGACAGTAGATCTGTTTATTTAATTCAGGGTAGGGTTGTCACAAACTATATGTGAGTAACGTCTGTTCTGCAGTCATCTAAGATCTTACCATACTCTTTACCTAAATGAGGCACTGCGTGTTTGCATCAACGAGGTGAAATTCTCTAGCAGGTTCTAGTCACTAGAAACTAGAAACTAGAAATTTTAGTTCCTTTAAAATGCTGTTACATCCTCACTTGCGTACATGTTTGGTCATTCACTTCTTAAATACACAGTGAAAACAAAGGATTTAAGTAACATCATTACATTGTTCAAAAGCATTTATTTGGGTAAGTAAAACACGTTTCTCTGTCTATCTTTAAAAGCTGTACTGTGCATGTTTGCTTACATGTGCTGTTACATGTCTGAGCCAGGCACTGCCTGTGCTCCCTGTTTGGATAATTCCTGACGTTTAGTAAAATGTCAGTAAATTGTTACATCAGGACAATACTATTTATCAGTAGTAGTTAATGCTACTTGTGATATATTTAATAGTACTATTTATATGGTTTATATATTATTTTTAATATTTTTAATTGTGTAGTGTATGTATTATATTTAATACTACTAATGCCAATATTAAATGTTACTGTTGATATTTAGTAGTGTGATATTTAATCTTCCATTTTTAGCATGTTTTGCTTTGAAAATTATTGCATGCTTAATTTTTTTCTGGTTTTGGAACATGTTAACTGGTAGAGTATCACAGTCAATACTAGCACCTTTCTTTCGCTGTCTTAGCGGTGACATAAACGAAGCTGTTGTGGAGTCACTATTCAGCTTAGTTTTGAGGCCTGTTATGGTGGTAATATGAGCAAATTAGATTATATTCATGCACTGTACTTGCTCTGTGCTGAGGCGGATGATGTCAGTCTTCATGACAACATTTTTGGAAACGCAGTCCTCATCAGAGGTTGTTTTACTTTTGTTTAATGTCTCATTTATATTATGAAATACCTCCTGGCTAGGTTCCAGAGTTTGGAGAGTAATTAAGAGCAGCCTGTTGGAAGGGGAAATTGGTGTATGGACTAAGAATTTAATCAGTTTTAATTTTAAACTGACAGCACTTATTACTCTTGCATTGCTAATGATCTGTGACATTAATAAGCTATGTATACAAACTGCTGTCACTTTAGTGTCAGTAGAAAATTTTATTAGCTATTTTGCTGTAGAAGTTGAAGTCTTTATAATAATTCATTGTACTGTCACTAATACTAAACATATTTCTGGGTAGTTTAGGCATTAAAGTAAAATGTCAGTTGCTAGGTTGATTTTAAAAAAAACCTTTAGATTTAATTGCATCAGTGATTTCTTACATTCTTAGTTATAACTAATATATAGTGTATATATAAAAATATTTTTATATAACTAATACTACGGTTGAAAAAAACATTTTAAAATAATTGAGGTTAAGTTTTCAAAAGCATGTAAATACCTTACACTAAAAAGACCCAGAAGAATGGGATTTGTGCCCTTTTGAATGTCTTCCTTCAAACAAGAATGTAACAATTCATATATATATATATGAATCATAGAATTGTAGGTTGGAAAAGACCTCTAAGATCATCAAGTCCAACCATCAACCCAACACCACCATGCCTACTATGAAAAACCTGCCTGAAATACTTTACTGGTTTATTTATAGGCAGGTTTAAATAGAAAGTAGTTTTTCAAAAATGATGTTTTGATACTTCAGTTGATGTGGATAGGGGAATGACAATTTGGAATGAAATACTCTTAATTTTTTGCTATTTTAAAAGCTATGGAAGAATCTAAGTGGCCTTGGAGTGAGAGGCAAGACCTCAGCTCAGATAACATAACATAAATAGCTGGGTAGAGAAGTCTGAGTGGGATTTGGTTTCCGTTATGACAAAAGATAACAGCATACCTTACAGGGTCTGTATGAAAATTCATGCTTTTCTGGTTTTGCAGGTTGTCAGTATATTAATCATCAATACTTTAAATTTTTTTGCCCACTGCTGTTCAGTTACTGTGTGAAATTCTCACCGTTTGTTCTCGAGACTTGATAAATCAGAAGACTGGGCAAGAAATACTAGATGAAATGTTAATGGCAATAAAAAGAAAATAGGGCAGTGCATTTTGTTTGCCCTGCTTCTACAGCTTACACTGTTGTGACACAGTGGGATCAGTTCAGGAAATGGTTGGTGTCACTGAGGACAAGCCAGGGAAGACTTCAGCACTCTGTTCAACTGAAGTCGAAAACCTGTATTTCAGGTTGCATAAGAGGTCACTCCATCTCAGGAAAATTTGTATTGAGAATGTAAGTCAGTCTTGCTACAAGTGACTGGAACAATTAAAGGCAGCTTTAATCGTTCATTTGATAAGAAAGGCCAGTATTGTTTCCCCCAGAACTGTGTATGTGAAAAGATGAAATGGAAGTATGTTACTGGACTGTATAAAGAAAGTAAGTGTTGATAGAGAGATGAGGAAAACTTAAGATCAAGGGATGTTCAATTATATGGAAAGATTTTGGAGCTGAAAGATGGTAAAAGATGTGGAACTCTCTCTCAGAGGAGGTTGTGGAGGCCATAATTTAATTAAACTTAGAATAGGGTTGAATGTGTGTGGATACCACGTGTAATTAGAAGACATGCTGTCGCAAAGGATTACCAGACCTCATGTTGCAGGTTTGGAGTTAGTCTTTCTGCTATTAGAAGTCCGTGTTTAACCTCATAAAAAGGGGAGATCATTTGACATCTGCATGTGACAGGATTCTTGCATCATCTTCCAAGACACAGTCCATGGTCCCATTGTTTTCAGTAAGGTTCTGGACCAAGGGGCACTTAAATCTGATTTATTATGCTAATTCTTGTATGCCTTAGTGCTTAAATATTGTGATTATCCACTAAAGAAAAATCTTTCAATTTTCCCTCTGTAATTTAGCTGAAAGTATTTTAAATAGCTAGTGTAAAATGGACTTTGTTTATACCCTTATGTTAATTTTGGACCTGTGATAAATGTATTTTTGTTTCTAACAGTATCGTTACAGGATATCAACATGAAAAAAGCATTCAAGAGCTCAACAATTCAAGATCAGCAGGTAGTTTCAAAGAACAGCATTCCTAACCCGGTGGCTGATATTTATAATCAGAGTGACAAACCACCACCTCTGAATATCCTTTCACCTTACAGGTACGGAAATATTAATTGTTTACCCTTTATCTCCTAGTTGTATGTAGAGAGTAGTTACAGCAGGAGGGAAAAGCTGCATTGGTTATTGAGATTTGTTTTTTTGGGGACTTCCCTGTTCATGGAAAGAAAAATTGCTATTACCACACTTAAAATCACAAGTTGTACCTGACAAAAATCATCATATTTCAGTGTATTATATGGCAGCACAGGATCAGAGAGCAAGGAGCATTGACCATGTGAAAAGTGGAAAGAAAATTGGTAATATACTAAACTGGTTTCTTTGGTTCATTTATCCAGAAAGCTGGATTTGTTGCTTTTGCCTTCCCTCTATTCTCCCTCTTCCCCACAACACAGGCACACGTGTGCACACGCACAATCTTTACCTTTTCTTTTCCTGGTTACTTACTGGTGAATAGAAGTGCAGCAAGCAGGACTTTGTTTCCTGTTTCCTTTAAGTTTATTGTTGCTCATGAAATGAGTGTAATTTGTCTGTCTGAAGGGTTGTGAACAACATGTTTTTACTGTGTCCTTCAGCTTGTGAGAGGTACTAGATTGGGAGGTTTCTGTGTAAAGCAGGCACTCAATCTGCAGTAAAGTATTTAAATTTTTCTTAGGAATGGCACTGCAGAGCATTTGCAGAGTTTTGTTTTTAAGAGCTTTTAATTGGAAGGTAAAATTATTAGATTTACAGCTGAAGGACATGCTTTTTGCCACTGCTACAGACAGTGGTGATGTTTGATTGGTTATAGGCATCCAGTTAGCAAGAGTTGCTATCGATCAGCTGTTCTGCACAGCTATGTCCTAATATGTGTCTGGATGACAGTGTCAGTGACCTTTATTGTTATTCTTGTTTTATTAGGGATACTTTAGTGAAATTTACTTAAATTATATTTCTTCATAAGTCTTTTACATCTGCTAAATTTAAATTATTTCTGTTTGCCTTGGACAAAGCTTAAATGAACTTCAAATTGTAGTCTGACCAAAGCTGGAGGGGTGGAAGAGTGGCCCCAGTACCCCCTTCAGTAGGTTAGATGTTTGTAGCAAGGAGATCTAGCGCACAAAAAGTAAGGGTTTTATGGCTGTATGACCAGATAGTATACAATATCTGCTCTCCGTACCCTGCTCCAGTGGTTGTAAGGTTTCCATGTGCTGGATCTCCATTGCTCTTGATCTTGATGGTATAAATTAGTATCAGCTGCCATTAAAATTTGTCCAGGAAGACATTAGGACCCAGAGCCAAAATGGACTCTGAAGGACACCAGTTTAGCAAGCTAGACTGGGATCACAGTCACATGCTGTTTGGACCATGCTAGCTGCCCTGCCATGTTGACTCTTCCTACATCCATTGCTTTCCAGGAGTTTAGGGTATTAGAAGATTCCCTGTTTCAGGGGCATATATTTGATAGCATACCTTTTTTGTGGCTTCTTAGCCTGGGTGTCCTTGGCTCCTGCTGCCAATTGGAGCTGGCAAGCCCAGGCCTGCTCTGTCTCAGGTCCTCCTGGAACAGTCTGGTAGGATTCAACCTTGCAGTTGCCACCCCTTTGGTATCCCTTCCCCTAGTTAGAAGAGTCCCACTGAGAAGCGACTGTCTTGTGCTTCCTGTCATAAGGGCAAACATACTCAGACCTACTTTGTTCCGAAGTTCAGATCTAAAGATATGTCTGTATTGAGCAAAATACTCCTTTTCCAGTTCTTTGAGACAGCTGAGTTCCATTCTGATGGCCCTCTGTCCCCTACACATCCCGTCTTGGCACTGATCTTCATGTGGCACCAGTGAATTTCCTTCCGGTGAGCTGGCTGGTGCAGAAGCCCTCCTGCTGAGCTCTGAGCTGGGAACATGCCTCCCAAAAGCCTGTGCATTCCATCCCTTTTCCCCTGAAATTCTTGGCATGAATCAAGGCAATTGTGAGCTGTAACTACCAAGAGTGGCGTTCAATACGCTTGGCATGCTGTCACCCTGTAATGCAAAAAAGATGAAGTTTGGATGATCATCGAAGGTGAGTTTTGTTGGTTTAAAAAATACTAATTCATATTTTCTTAGCTTTTCTTCTACTGTATTTCCAGGGATGATAAGAAAGATGGATTGAAGTTCTATACTGATCCTTCCTATTTCTTTGATCTTTGGAAAGAAAAAATGTTACAAGATACTGAAGATAAGCGAAAAGAAAAGAGGAGACAAAAGGTAAAAGCAGAAGCATAATAGCCAATGTATGTATTACAATTTCGTGTACTGTTGTCCAGGCATGAAAATTGCTAGGTCATACTTATTTTGTGTGCATGGAAAGACTGTTCCTCCTTATACGTGGCTGTAGATTCAGTTGGTTCAGTTCTTATAGCTCATACTGTCTATTTTAAGAAGTTGGCAAATTGAATTTTAGGAGTACTGTAGTTATCTTCCAAGATACTTTCTTTAATCCTTTGCCAATGTTTGCTTACTAGTGCTCAGCAAAATGGCCCTGTTGTGCTTTGGAAAAAGACGCTGTGATTAAGGGGGGGGCGGGCAAACAAAAAAGGAATTTGAATTATGGTTTCCTTTGTTTTCATAGTTCTTTATTCAGCAGCATCAACTCCTGTAGCAAAACATGAGCTTATCCAGAAATAAATATTTTGTTCGGTTTTTTAATTCCTTCATAGTAACTCTTCACTTGTCTACACCTGTTACAAGTTAGTAAGATGTTAATGCACAGCAAAATTATTCTGTCGTTCAGCAACAAGAGAAGATTAATTTTAGGAGTAATATTCTTTGTTTCCTCCAAGTTTAAAGCCAACAGAAAAAGGCTTTTTCATAGAAAAGTGTCTTCCGTCCTTCTGGAGTCTCTTCAGCACTTTGATCCCAGATATGTATTCTGATGCAATCAAGATTTTCTTAGTGGATACTAGTTTTGAGTGAATAAATTAGTTGCTACTTCTGCAGCTTCTTTGCAGTGATTTTTTTTATCACATGGGAGCTTTAAGATTTTTGAAGAAAATTCTGGGGGGAAAAAAAAAAAAAAGGAAAGTTTGAAGCAATGGCTGTGTGTCTTATATGGCAGAAGGTGCCCTTCAGACTGGTTCAGTGAGTGATGAGGGGTTTAGAAAAAAAGGAATCCAAACAAGATGCACAGACTGCTGAGAGGAAATAGAAGGAAGCTACTTAGTTTTCAGTACGCATATACGTGTGTATGTACATATATGCATATATGTCATATATTAGCATACATATATATAAGCAGGTATCATAATACATCAGCATATATACACACAAGTATTATACAGATGTATATGTACATGTCTAATACATGAATATACATGCTAATGTATATTTGTGTATATACATGAAGAGTATAATACATGTATATATATATGCTAATATATATGGTAGCTTCTGAGAAATCAAATTGTAGGTCATGGCTGGGCTGCTTTACTGTTCTGTTTTTATAAAATTCTATTGATTCCTTGTTCCTGTTGCTAGACAAAACTTTCTGACTACAACATTTTTAAACAAAACTTGAAGACTTGGTTTAACTAAAACATTTTGTGAATTCATGATTTTAAAAGTTCTGGAAGAAATAAATCAGATCTTCCTGGTAAGAGTATGAGTCAGATGTTTTCCGTTTTGACAGTTATCTCTGTATTGAAATATTAAATAGAGTTGGAAAAGGTGAGTAAACATTTTCAGTAGAAGTTACTATCTAAAGCAGAATATTGGAAAATACTTGTGTAACTGTACACCAATGTATATGCAAAGTTATAATCCCACTATGTTCTCAGTATAAGTCACAGAGCTTATTAAAAGACTGAAAATAATTAAAGAAGCTTTCATTCTCTAGTTTAGTTGTTTTTTTTTTTAAATTTCACTCAGTATTTCTTTATGAAAAGTATATAGGGATAATTGCACTCTTTGTGTTTTTTTTTTCCTCCCACCTTCTTCCCTTCAAATTTAGATCTTTTCACTAGAGAGGGGATAAAAAGAAACTATAAACTGCTAATTTTTCATAGTTATTTAATATTAAAAAAGGAAAAAATACAAAAACTTTTTAAAAAATTTATAGCGGAAAAATTTTTGATAGCTTTAGAGAGACTTTTACAACATCACTTCATATATAAACTTCCTTTGAGACTACATTTTAGACAATACATCTCACTTATTTCCATCCATGGTATCTTTTTTGTAGATTTTAATTGTCTTTGTACAGTCTACAAGCCAGATATAAAATATGCTGAATTCCAATCTTGTAGGATTATAGCCACACATCACAGAAACACCCCTTGATAAATTCTACCTGAAGTGCTATTCGATTTGATTAAATATATAACAAGACCTGCTAAGAAGAAAGCAGCATAGATTTGAGTTTGCATGGATAGGTATCACTTTGTGACAGGAAGAAATTTGGTTTTTAGCTTTCCAGAAGCTGGTGTGCAAATGAGCTGTTTATCATCTGGAACCTTTACAGAGCTGGAGGGCTTGGGTGCGATGTCTCACAGGCACAGTTTGTTCCACAGGTTGCTTAACAGACTCTAGTTTTCTTTTGTTCTGGTCCTTATGATAGCAGTGACGAGGAATTAATCTAGAGCATCTATTAGCAATTTTGTGGCTGAAATTGTATTTTGAATCTACTAAGTGAGAATTCCGTAAGCAGTTTTTCCTCTGTGGAAGCACAGCATATAGAAGTGTTGAGAAACTGTGCAGGTGAAACAGATAATACGTATTGTTCAGCGGATTGTGAGCTAGACATGCAAAAGCAGTCCTACTTAGCTGACCAAATACAGCTGGTTTTTAACCTCAATTTTTCAGGTGGCAAGTGAAGCCTGAGAGCACTCCTTGCACCAGAGAATCGGTTTTCCAGTATTATTTTGGTAATTTGCCTTAGATGCTTGAGCTGTTGCAGCAGAAGGCTTGTGAGGAGTTTCATTTTCCTGCCTTCAAATATTATAGATATTTATTGTTTCTGTATTCAGTTTAACTGAAGAAATCTAACACAGGCTTTTTCTGATTTGGCTCTTTCAGGTGAAATTTTTCTAAAAAAAAAAAAGGTAATTCTTCACATTTAAAATCTGTGGTGTAGCCTCTGTTTTTCTTTTTTTTACTATCGAGCTTCCGGTAGTTCGGTGCCTAAGAAGTCAATGAAGTTAGTTTTGACTTTTGCATATAGCAGTAATACTCCGAATTGAATGACTTTGTAGAGCGGTTATTAACTGTTAGTTAACCAAAGGAAAGTTGTTCTACTTTGTTTTTTATTGTTCCCCGTTTTTTTCTGAGGAATGATTAGTTACTTAAATGGGAATCTTTGAATTTGAAGGGCTTGTATTTCAAAAATCATTCTTGATGACTTATGATTGATAGGATCTTGTAAATTTGTGAAGTCAGGAAAATACTCTAGGCTCACGCTTCCAGTTTTTTGAAAGTATTGCAAATACTTGCTGAAGCTACTTTCTGTTACTACCACTAATTCTTTATTAAGATGCTTGAAATATCGTTTGCCAACTCTTGATGCAAATATCAAACTTCAAATTAACTTAACCCTCTTTGATGGCTCTAATGTGTTTGTTGTGTTTGCTGAAGTTGCTTCCTGCTGCCAGCTGAATGAGGTGCCTGTTCTCTGGCTTAACCTACAGCATCCACTTGTGTCTGCCACCGCTTCTGTTACACTCGGTTAAAGGAAGTAGCTCTTCTTAATATTGCTTAACTTTCCCAAGAAATGTTTCTGGCTGTGGTTATTTTGAAAGGTTTCAGCTCCCCTAGAACTCTGTTGTCATCACCCTAGGTACTAAAACTAGAGCTGTCACCATTGTCTGTCGAGGTAACAAAAGTACTACTGGAACAACTTAAAACTACTCTGTTAGAGATGTATGTAGTTAGAGGTATATATTGTTTTGGCCGCTGCTAGTAATTGGCCTGCCCCACTGTTTTGGAAGAAATTAAATGCTGAAGAGGTGTATTTATAGAATACTTAATCCAAAAATCAGTTCCGGTAGGGTTTAGTACTGTTTGAGTAAAAAGAGTTCCAGCATTTTTATTCATTAGCGCACTTACAGATGCTGGTGTGGAAGAACCTATCCAGCTGAAATCTGATCCAGTAAAAACAAACTACACTTTATGTTTATTTTATGTTGTTTATTTATACATATGTATATATTTAGCTTTTTCATAAAAAACAGAGCAATCTCTTTAAAACCAGACTTTTAAATACATGATTGTATGTAAGCAGTCGTGTAAGCACTCCTGATTGTACAGGAGTGGTATCAAAATGATTGTCTTCTGAGCAGCATCCTACATTGGTCATAAGGTGGATATCTACATCCAGCAACTTGCAAGAAAGACTAGTTGTGACCCTTGGAGGAGGGAGTTACTATTATGTGAGAAAACTAAAGCATATTTTCAGTTAACCAAAAGGCTTACTTGCACTTTCCTCTCAAATGTACCATGATTTAGTAATAAAATCTTAATAAATGAACCAATATAAAAGTCACAAATTAAAACAAATTAAATTTTGCTGCAATCAAATGAAAAAGACAGATGTAAAGCCTTTAACAAGTATATATTCAACCGTGGCAACTAGCAAAACTTTAAATATTTAAAATAAGTCATGACTGAATCTGCCTCCCTTCTGCTCCAGTTCCTGTATTGGGTAATTTGGCTGTGAAGAAGTGGTATTAAAGGAGAAAGTAAAGCCTTGCATAACCTGGATAAAAAAGGGCGTGATTCTAAGAAGTTTTGGGAGAAAAAAGATTTTATAGGAAGTAATTAAGAACCAAGAGGATGACCTTTACTTAACATGAATCAGATCAAAAATCTACTCACTGCAGGGGCCAGGAATGAGCAAGTGTTGTCGGAACATTCGGATGTTGAACTTCAAAAAGACTTTTCTCTGTCGTTCTTAATGTTAGCAGAGGTGGATCATCAGGTCTCCCGTAGGGACATGCATGAACAAGCAAGAGATCTGAAACAAGGGCACGCAAGCCATTTGACAGATTTTTTTTTTTGTTGTTTTTTTGTGTTAGTTCGATAATGCCAAGTACATGATTTCAGAATTACTCAGTGCTGTTTGACAGTCGGAGTAAAATACCTATGTTTGTGTGCTGTACCTTTTTTTCCCCTCTTTCTTTTTGGCGAGACTGGCTTTCCAACTGTTATCCCTTACTTTGAAAGGAGATTCCACAGTAAAATGCTTGCATATCAGCTTTTTACCGAACTCTTCTCTAAATACAGTTGAATGACTGCATTCTCAGGATATCAATATAACTCTTTCTTGCGAAACCATTTTTCTAGCAGCCAAAAGCCTAATACCAACTTATTAATAGGTAAAACAAGTTTAACCTGTTTATGAAGTAGTATTGTAAGATATGGACTCTAGAGATGATTATAAAAAATAAATCTAACACCCTCAAATGTTGAGAAAAGGAGTAGCACACAAATATCCTTCTCAGATTTGATTGAGCAAACTCTTTTATTTCTCTGCTGAAGCACTGATACGGTTTTTATAGCCATACTGAGTAGTCAGAGGTAGGTGAGGACAACATTTCAGAGGTGTGAAAGCATTGAGTCCCACTGCTAGGAGATCTTCCTGATAGATAAACACAGACATTGATTGGGCATGATATTATATACAAAGATTTTAAAAAACTAAATGGACTGATTTGTCCTGAAGCTACCAAGCTGTAATATATTACTGGCCTGAATATTACTGACACATTGCAGAGAGGATTATTGTCATTCATTTTTATATAAGCTAATGGGAAATAATGATGGGAAAAACTAGGAGGAATTTTGGTAGTTGATCAGATCTAAGAAGGGAGACAAAGTTAAAACAAAAAAAATATGTTTCACATAGACTGTGAAATAGGAAAGTGTTTCTAATTTTTCCATACTTCCCCAAGGCCTCAGGCAATTGTGACCCTAACGAATAGCCAAAATAACCCTGAGTATTTTTAACACAGTCTCATAAGATTGATTTGAAGGAGAAGGAAATTACAGGTGCTTCAGGACAGTCTAACTAAATGACAAATGATGTCAGTTGTTGTTAAACTTTCTGACTTTTAAATTCAGTTACATTTCTGTCTGTTGGGAAGAACAGTAGGTTGATATGACTTACATGTGCATCCTGCAGAAGGGCACAGCAGCATTCTTACTGCTAATGAGGTTCGTAGCTTAAGGAGATACTCTCATTTTCAGTGCAGAGAAGTTTTATGAAAGACTTGTCTTCGTCTATAGATCTGGTCTTGTTTTCATGCACTCTAACTGCATTTTAACCAGCTTTTTTCCTTTCCTTTTTTTCTCTCTTTGCATGCTTTATTTCTTTTGTTTGAACATTAGGAGCAAAAGCGTATAGATGGCACCACCCGTGAGGTGAAAAAGGTTAGAAAAGCCAGGAACAGACGCCAGGAGTGGAATATGATGGCGTATGACAAAGAGCTTAGACCTGACAACAGGTTGTCTCAAAGTGTGTACCATGGAGCATCTTCCGAGGGATCACTGTCCCCAGATACTAGGTCTGTTTACAGCAAAGCTGTTTGTTGTACCACAGTTGTATGTTCAGAAATACTGAGTAGAATTAGGTGTTTTTGCAGGCTGGGAATAGTTAGAATGGGTGAAACATATGATGCATGTTTTAAAGTGTGAAAGTATTTTAAAGCACAAATAACGTAACAAATTCTGTAATTAGTGATTTTTTTTTATTATTATTCATCAGCTTCAGATGAGCATTTTGTCATCCTTATATTATGCACTGTAGTGAAATGTGTTTGCTGTATACTTTGTATTTGATCTTGAGTAGTTGTAGCTGCAAAAGCATTTAAATCTGGCTCTCAGCAGATTACACCTCCTTTTGGTGTGCGCAGAAGTCTAGGTTTGGCTGGGCTCACTAGAGCATTTTCGCTCTTATTTTATTTCTCTGTCTGACACAGTTAATTGCTAGCAGTAATGCTAGGAATAAATAGAATCTAATGGAAAAAGTGCGTGACAATTTAGTGTTTAAATTGTTGACTGGCTAGGCTGGGGAAGCGGCCACCACTGCAAAAGTGTGGACTGATACCTTCAGTCTGCTGTCGAGTGGAGATTAATTTAAAAAAAAAAAAAAAAAAAAAATCTATGGAGAACTTTACCTAATGTTTTGGTCTTTGTGAAGAATAATCATCTTGTAATTAAAACGAAAAAATTCAAGAAAATTGCTACTGCTGTTTCAATAATATATTCAGACCCCTCCTCTCTGTCTAAAATCCTTTAATCACCAATATATTTTTTTACAGTTTCTATGCAAAACATTATCTCCTGTTTGGCAGTCTGTAATGCTTCATTAAGATGATGCTTTCCATAGGTTTATCTGGTAAAATGACGTTGGTGTTCAGCTGTCAAGTGCAAGATGGGGATTTTTTCGTCATCTCAGAGTTCTGCCTTTCACACATTTTGAGTCTTTTTTTTTGCCTAAGCATGTTGCTTCCTGGATTCCCAAGTTGAAATAGTCACATTTTAATGTGTTAAATTTGTTTTTATCTCCCAGCAATGTCAACATGTATTTGCCTATTTGCAGGTATCCGTAATATTTGCAATCTGTAGGATTTTTAAAGCAATAATTGTAGGATGCATCATTATGTTGGATATAGATGTTGCGGTATGACAGGTATCTTGTACTTTATATAAGCCTTTCAAATTTTATAATATGTGAAGAATTCTAAATTTCAATGAATTAAATATCAGCGATTGAATCCTGAAATCTGTGTTTTACATGCGTGAAGGCTGAAGTTTGTGAGCGGTAGCGAGGTGGAGAGAAGGCTTTCTATTTTTTATCCTGGGGTAGCCTTAGCTGTAGGAACTAAGCTGTAAAAATCCCCATGCGTATAGAAGTAAGTACTGGTTTGAGAGACATTTTTATGCTGACAGTTACTGCATGGGCAGTGTTTTATATATAAATAAGGTCCCAAAGAAGCGTGTTGGCTATATTATGATTCTTTTTTAATGCTAAAGTAATAAAAAAGCTTATGTTTCTTCTCGTTTGCTGAGTGTAAGACTTACTCATTAAATGTTGACACCCAAATGTCCAGACCGTGGCAATTTACAGTGTATTTGTTATACTTATTGTACTTTAGAGAGAGAAACACAAGCTGAATCCAAACAGAAACCAGCAAATTAATGTGAGAAAAGTAAGAACAAGAAAAGAAGAGTGGGAGAGAAGGAAAATGGGCATTGAGTTCATGAGTGACGCAAAGAAAATGGAACAGGCAGGAAGCATGAAAGAGGACAAAATGCCCAAAGGGTTTGTCATTTTGTTTTGCTCAAAGCCCTGGCTTTTTGTTGCTTACCTTGCTTCCAGTCTTACAGATAAGTGCATCAGTTTACTGCGTTCACTAAAAGCCAGGCTGCACGATCGTTCATTACTAAAACAACTATTTGCAGTAATGGGATGAAGAGATCCTTTTGCTCCCTCTCTTGGGCTTATTTGACAGAGCATCCTAGACTTTGTATCTTTATGAACTCTCTGCTCAACTAATATTTACATTTCCTGGTTTCTCTAAGCCTTTCCAGCAAAATTAATTGTGCAAACAAACTAAAAAGCGTTTTCTAACTTTTGAAATTGATTTTCTCTGCTTTTGTAAAATATATTCTTCTGCATAATTAGGAGCGCTTGCCGTATTGCTTTCCTCTTTCTGCTGCCATTGCCCACTTAAGGCGGGCCTGGGAAGTGTTGTCATTTCAAACAATGGACTGTCAAAATCATTGACAAAAACAACGTGCCTCCTTTTGGCTACTAAAGTCTCTGCAATCTGGAGAAAGCTCTACATTTTTTTTGCCTTTTTTAAAGTCTGCATTTTAGGAGGACATTCTCCATGCAGCTAGTATGATGAAATATTGAAAACATTAAATTTATGCTGACTTGTCAGACTAATTTATTTTCAAGTTGTGTTAAGCTGAGCCATGATTTATTTGTTGCATTTGTTCTTGTGCTTTCTGTGGTCTTACAAGGGAATAGTGCTTGATAATCAGGGAGTCCTGTTGCAAGAAAGCTAGTTCTGATTGCATTCTTTTTAGCTTTTTGTGTGAGCTATTTAGGTAATATCCTGTGACACTCACATAATCTGTTCTTCTGCATCCATTTACTTTAATTTTAGGTCCCATGCATCTGACGTTACCGATTATTCTTATCCTGCTACTCCGAATCATTCCCTCCATCAGCAGATAGCAGTACCTTCGTATGGAACAGGAGATGGTCCACAGTACATGGCAGCATCCCAAAGCCATGAGCATGAATACAGACCACCTTCCACCACTGTCCGACACGCTACTTTAAACAGACCTCAGCAACCACCTCCACCACCACCCCAGCCTTCAGATGGCCAGCATAGCTCAGTACCTGGGGTACCACCAGAATATGGGTAAAACTCCTTATTTATTCCAGTGGATTCTTGACACAACTAGAGGGATGCATGTTTTTCATAAGCATTGTAACATACAATGCATACACACAAAAAGAGCCCACATACATTAGTTATCTCCCTGGTGAGGACAGGAAAAAAATGGTATCATTTCTATTTATGAACTGAATTTAAATGATGGAATGCTGAAAGCAGAAATAATGAATGTGGTGAAATCAATATACTTGTAAAATAGTAAGGGTTCCTAATACAGTATTAAAAGGGGTTCATTTTCCTTTAAAGTGGAAAATAGTTACAGAGTAATTTGAATAATATTTTAAACTTCAGGAAAGGTGCAGAAAAAGTGTCACTGGATGTGATTAATGTGGCAGTCTGTGTTACACCCCCAAAATGACTTTTTAAAGGAGCTTATGACAGAATTGGAAGGGATCTCCTCAGACACAGAATCAAGTTCCCTGCTGTCACAAACAACTCCATAATTCAGTACGTGAATTTATCAAATTCCTGCGTAGACACTTTGCCTGAATGTGTTCTGAAGCAAGGCTTGCTTCAGAGTACTGGCTCTCCAGTAGCAGGAAAACATTGGTTTTCTGACCAGTCTGTGCCTGTTTGTTCTTTTGCTTAAATAATTTAGCTTAAACTTTGAGGCTGTAATCCCAGGAAAGTTGTAATCATTCTTGCCTGTGTTGTTTTAAACTAAGCAAGCCAAGGTTTTTCAGCCTCACTTGATGCATCTTGGGATAGCATTTGCCTGATTCATGAATGTATCGTGCTGTAGGTGACTCAGTTGTGCTATGATTGACTGCTCCAACCTGCATTTTCTCCATTATTTCCAGTTTATAACAGAAATACTTGTGCTTAGTCCCCAGGTACACGACCACTGTCAGTGTATCACAGTTGTCATACATTGACATGTATCAGTGAATGTCATCAGTAACTTTCCGTCAACTCCTGTCTCGTATATCTAGTTCTTTACCTACTTTATAACTCTTACATTAATTCCCATTTTTCTGCTTAAGAATCTTTAATGACATTTCAACAAAGAAATTAGCTCTTCCCTGCGCTTCTCCTTTTTAAAGTATCAATCAAATGTATCGATTTAATTAAAAAATATTTAAATTGATAAACTTGACTAAAGAAGCACATGAGATGCATGATATACCTTTGGGTAAATCTTTCCATTCATGCTTGCCATTGTCCTGCACAGAGTCTATCTTTTTTTATTACCTCTTAGTATTTGTTCTAAGACTTGGTCTTCTATGGAAGTGATACGCGTAGTCTACAGTTTTCTTGGTCCCTGCATCATAGGCATTGTACTTAATATTCTCACAGAGTAGATCTTTAGTAGCAAATACAGCTGCATACCCAACTAGGCAGGAGTATTAAGATAAAAAATCTCACTTTATGGCGTGCTGAAAGGACACTGCCCTTAACTTTGTCATCTGCCTTAAATCTCAATGTATTATCAATCTTTGACAATTCATGTTTGTAATCACTTGCGTATTTAACTCACCAGTTTAAATTCCTTTTTATTTTTATTTTAGCTGAGGCTGGATGAGAGTAGTTTAAGGGGTGATGCTTCTCTAAGTCCTAATTTTCAATGTATTAAATAGTTTTTTTTCCTGTTTTATATAGGATGCTTCCAGCTCAGATGGTGGATTATTACAACCCTACAGGTCCTCCCCCCCCTCCTCCGCCCCCCATGATTCCTTCAGCACAAACTGCCTTTGTTAGTCCCCTTCAGCTTCCCGCGCCACCTTCCCATTCTGGACTGGCGACTGGCTCTACGTATGCAGCTACTCATCCTCCTCCTCCTGGTGGGCTTAAACGTCACGAGCCAGCGCAGCCGCCCGTCAGTGATGCACGGAGCGATCTTCTTGCTGCCATTCGCATGGGTGAGTGGACACTGAGCATCAGCCATTGCTTTTTTTCCATGAGAGCACTGTGTTTTCCAGTGATCGGAGTTCGTGGCTTCTGTTCCCAGCTGGGCAGAATGTCATTAAGGGACTAACTAACCACAGGTACTGTGCACCTATTCTAACAGGTATCAGCTTTGGCTTTGGTTTTTTTTCTAATGCCTAAAGATATACAGCTTTGTCAAACAGGTTCTAGTGTTTGTGTGGACATACTAAAAGGAAGACAGTACTTGTGTGTTTGTTATGTGTAGTAGCCAGTAGATGTACATGGATTTTTGCTTCTGTTCAGAACAACCGAGTTGCCTTCAGCCCACTGATTACACAGTTACTAATGGCTGTTCCTGACTTTGCTTACAATATGGAGCTGTAGTTCTAGTGGTATTTCCAAATACAATTGTGAAAACTTCCATCTTCAGATCAAAAGGACCCATACAGTCATGAATATTTAGTGTGAACATATTGCTGGCAGTGTTGGAAACCCAGAAGTATTCCATCTCTGAGAGTGGGTTCCAGTCTGCCTTTTCTGTCTGTCTTCCTTGCCCAGGGAGGCTCTCTAACTCAATGGTTTCTTTTTTTTTTCTTCTTCTTCCTGACTATATGTTAGAGTACAAAAACCTCATCAATAACAACATGAAATTTAAAATCTCTTGTGCAGAAAACTTTGTCTGAGAGTAATTGTCTCTACAGGAATTCAGCTGAAAAAGGTGCAGGAGCAACGTGAGCAAGAAGCAAAGCGAGAGCCTGTTGGAAACGATGTGGCAACCATCCTGTCCAGGCGCATTGCCGTGGAATACAGTGATTCTGATGACGATTCAGAGTTTGATGAGAACGATTGGTCAGACTGAACCTGGCCCAAGCCCAGTGGCAAGTTCACGAAGTACTTGGCTTCAGTGATTGCTTTCGTAGCCAGATGTAAAGCGGGACGTTGACGTGTATTAAGGCTAGCGATGGAAGTGGTAAAATCGAATTGGTGTTATTCAGAATGCTGTAGCTTAGCAACTCTGGTAATAATGATGTGATTATGCTTATGCAGATCAGAAACTTGTCTTACTTTCAGTATTTACCGCATAATACTTAAGTGCCACTAAATGTAGCAAATCATGTGCTGCCTGCAAATTATGCTGCAGTTGTTGCACTGTTACAGAACCAGCATTTTATTTTACTTTCCTGATCTTGAAGGGATAAAATATATTTTTTTTACTTTACATGTTATTCTTTTAATTATGTAAGCAATTTAGGTACTTGTGAATTGGTCTGGTTGTTAGTCTTTGAGGGCAGTTAACTATATGATTGAGTGAAGTGTTGAGTTCCGGAAAGATGACTTTTAGCTTTTTTGTTAGTTACTAATTATGCCCACCTTAGTGTATTTTTAATTGCTTCTGGGCTTAGGTTTGTTTGCATACAGAGTTGATTTTATATAATCTTTTTTTTTATCTTAAAAATGTAGCAGATGATGAAATGTATGCTTTGAGGAAGGAATCCATGTGATTCAAAATTAACATTTTGTGAGCAGACTGGAGAAGTTTGTAACAGTACCAGCTCAAGAACTCTGCTAGTTCGGCAGAGTGCTGGGAGGTCTCAGGTAGGGGATGCACCTCCGTGTAACAAATGAAGGTTAAAATACCTGTAGAGCTTTTCAGTTTTGTGACACCAATCAGCTTCAACTAGATGCAAAGACTTCAGAGTAGACCTGATTGAAGCCATATGGTTATTGCAGTGTGGAAGTGTTACTCTGTTAGTACTAGAGATTGGAACTTTTGTCAGTCCAGATCTAGCAATCGGATACATTTCACAAGTATTACACTTGGTCTTTATGCCTGCAGGTATAAATGTTTGTGAATAAGTTTTGTTGTTATTGATTTGTGCATGTATAGTCATGACATAATTTTCCGTTTCCTGTAGCACGTTTACTCAGAAATACTGTTGTTTTGAATGTATTTCTTTCCCAGTATGTCCTACTGGTAAAACACAGGCAGTTAAAACAGTTTTAATGGCCATTTAGGTATTATGCCATATATATATACACACTAGTTTTCTCCTTCCCTAGGAACAGTTGTTGCTGTGCTGTCCCTGTTTTCTTTAAAAATAATTCCTTTTTTTTTCGCAGTACAGTATTCAAATGTTTTTTGGTTTTGTTTTTTCTTTCTTCTGGACTAGGAGTCAGGCTGCTGCTTTGCCTAATGAGGCTGTTAAAAATGTACTCGTAGCAGGGGAAGAGTTCTTTCCTTACCAGATTACAGTTTTAATCTTTGTACCGAAGTCTGTGGAATTCCAGGTCCAACATTTGGTAAAGCTCCTTTTGTCCTGTGAGGCCCTGTCTGTTCTTTAAAAAAAAAAAAAAAAAAAAAGTATGTAAAATAAAAAGAGAAATGGAAGCTAATTACCTAACTTGTGTTTACACAATTAACAGTTTTAGGTCCTGAGAGTGTAACAGTCTAAGACAATGTTTGCATGCAAACTATTGGCTACTTCATTGCTGTTTAATCTCCGCAGGGTTTTCCAGTCTGTGGTGGCCGCCTTTATGGTGGGGTGGTAACGTGCTGCCTCAAGGCTGGTGTTAAAATCTGTCGCACAAAGTGCGGCCAGTCTCTGCGTAATGGTGAGCAACCGCAGCTCTTGCTGAGCGGAGGCAGCTGAAGGTGCTCAGCTGCGTTTCAGCTGGAGCTGGGGTTGTCTCTGCCTTAAAATACGGAGCTGAAGTCTGCTCTAGGTTGTGTCCTGCAGTCTGAGGTCTGTGTGTCCACTGCAGAGGACGGAATTCGGGCCGTAGCCTGGCGGTGGGCTGAGGGATGGTCTGTTCTGATCAGCGTGGTGCGCTTGCGCAGTGGCTCGCAAGTGATTCTTTGCGTGGGGAGGCTGAAAGTGCACCTGGGACTGCAGTGTTACATCCCAGTATAGGGGGGGAGTA